AACAAACCTACACCCACAACAAACCTACACCCACAACAAACCTACACCCACAACAAACCTACACCCACAACAAACCTACACCCACAACAAACCTACACCCACAACAAACCTACACCCACAACAAACCTACACCCACAACAAACCTACACCCACAACAAACCTACACCCACAACAAACCTACACCCACAACAAACCTACACCCACAACAAACCTACACCCACAACAAACCTACACCCACAACAAACCTACACCCACAACAAACCTACACCCACAACAAACCTACACCCACAACAAACCTACACCCACAACAAACCTACACCCACAACAAACCTACACCCACAACAAACCTACATCCACAACAAACCTACACCCACAACAAACCTACACCCACAACAAACCTACACCCACAACAAACCTACACCCACAACAAACCTACACCCACAACAAACCTACACCTACAACAAACCTACACCCACAACAAACCTACACCCACAACAAACCTACACCCACAACAAACCTACACCCACAACAAACCTACACCCACAACAAACCTACACCCACAACAAACCTACACCCACAACAAACCTACACCCACAACAAACCTACACCCACAACAAACCTACACCCACAACAAACCTACACCCACAACAAACCTACACCCACAATAAACCTACACCCACAACAAACCTACACCTACAACAAACCTACACCCACAACAAACCTACACCCACAACAAACCTACACCCACAACAAACCTACACCCACAACAAACCTACACCCACAACAAACCTACACCCACAACAAACCTACACCCACAACAAACCTACACCCACAACAAACCTACACCCACAACAAACCTACACCCACAACAAACCTACACCTACAACAAACCTACACCCACAACAAATCTACACCCACAACAAACCTACACCCACAACAAACCTACACCCACAACAAACCTACACCCACAACAAACCTACACCCACAACAAACCTACACCCACAACAAACCTACACCCACAACAACCCAACACACAACTCCACCACCCTCACAATACACCCATCAACACCTCCGACCATTGACACATGGCAAACACAACTATTTATAAAGCCAGTAACTGCTTTTTTCTTAAACGCTATTCTAATCCAAATATTGCTTAGTTTTGCTCTTAGAAACCAATTTCCTAACGTTTTTCCCACGTTTTTTACATATCCGTTTTCGCTTGACTATTAAAAACAAATCTTCCACTAGGATACAATATCATGTGGGTTTTTTTTTAATTCTTGAAGTACTTTAAAAATATAATGTGTTTATTTGTACATAAATATTAAAACATAACATTTTTAATCTTGTTCCTTCCGTTTCTTTTACATAATTTCTAGCTTTCACAGTACAAGAATACCGCCGCCATTTTAACTTGACTTGGTTTTTGTGAAATCAATTTAAATGAATTAGTCTCGTAGTTCAATTATTTTTAGATCATTCAAATACTGACACACCTGATTTTCGCTCACCTAGCGCTTTCGGAAACAGTTCAAGAAGTTAATGCGAAAATAAAAATAATGCGATCAAAGGGAGACAAAAAACAATTAAAGGGAAGTAACTAAAACAAGTTTCGTTGTTGTTTTTTTTGTAGTTTTTTTATTGCCGAACAAAAAAAATCGAATAAAACCGGTTGTCTGAAAAAGGGAAACTAATAATAGATTATAGTGAATAAAAGTTATCGATTAGATATTGATTGATTTTGATGGGTTTTAATGATGGTTTAAATGAAATTGACTTCTGATCTTGAATTTAGCTACAGTGTGTAGTTGACTAAAAATGTGATGTATTGAGATGCTTAAAGCGATAGGAAATTAGGTCAAATTCTGATGTGTTTTTTTTTAATGTAGATTTTTGTTTTGTTTTTGTGAAATAAAAGTGTTTTATATCAATGATATACATGACACACAGCATTTTAATACATAAATGAATGAATACAAATATAACAGATTTAAAACAATTACAACAGACAAAATAGTTGTTTTTTTTTAAATCATCACCGAAAAAACTCCAGAACATGTTTTAGATGACCAATACATAATAAGCAGAAAAATGAATGTATATTTTATTGTAGGGTCAAATTTAGACCGAACAGAAGTTGTATTTTTTGTTATGAAGTTCAAAGGTCGAACAAGTTCAAATTCAGTTAAATATGGCAATAGGTAGATAGGTTAATTTTTGCTTAACCCTTTGACTACCACAACATTTTTAAGAAAAGCAAAAAAATGATATATAATAAAAAACAAAGATGATATATATATATATATATATTTATATATATATATATATATATATATATATATATATATATATATATATATATATATATATATAGTTGACTTTAATCACGTTTTCAACTGTAAAACATGTTCTCTTCGTTTTGTTCTCTGTCGTAGATCAACTCAAAGATTTATCTCCCATGTTTAGTACATGGACTCGAAGCAAAAAATCAAATCATAATTTTTCCCCTGGGATCTAAAAATAGAACCTGTACACGCATGAAGGAGTTCGACGGAGTAGAATTTATTGGTGTACAGTGTACACCTTAATTCTGATCCGTCGAACTCGTACACTGTAAACTGTAAATGTTTTGTTCGAAATATAAAACTAGAATGCCGGACCGAATGTACAAATTTGCAGATGAAGTAGAATTCTACTGAGTTTGGTACCCTCAGAACTGGTTGCATTTGGGGATTCGAACTCTAGACGTGATTTATGTGTTAAATTGCGAAGTGTTTACTTTTTCTGATTCGATTAGAAGTATAGAGTGGCATTGATCAACACTTTAACTTCGTAAAAATCTCATTTCAGTAGGTCTATGTCTTGGTATTTGAGCGAATTCAGCCATCGAAACTCTTTGAGACATAGAGATTAATTTAATATATTTTAAGGAAGCAGGCCAATGTAATAATCTTTAGAGATTAGGTAGACTAAGTAGAGTTCATCGTTTTTTTTTATCGGCAAGTATTTTTGGGATAAATCTGAGAGATAAGAACCTTATGATGTCTCCATACATCCAAAATCGACTTAGTATGACCGATAATTTTAGTACGAAAAAACAAATTGACAAGTAATTAAACTGAATTAAAAGATGATATTATATGTATGATTATTTATATATATATATATATATATATATATATATATATATATATATATATATATATATATATATATATATATATATATATATATATATCATTATGAATGTAACATTTTCTTACATTGGCCAATTGGCATTTGTAAGCTTTAACTTGAGCTTTTATACACAAAAACATACAACACTAAAAAACACAACAAATCACATAAAAACACACAAAACACAAGAAAACACAAAACATATCGCAAAAACACAACTCAAAAACACATACAAACGCACACTAACAGAAGAAAAAAACAACACAAAAAACACGCAAAACAAAAACACACACAAACTACACACAAAACACAACTCAAAATCACATAACACACGTACAAAATACACAAAACACACACTAACAAGGAAAAAAACACAACACACACGTACTAACAACTAAGGACGCCATTAGCCTGTAGTTCTCAACGTAATTCAATTTTCGCCTCTTTTAGCAAAAGAGCTTTTGCCTCTTGTTTCCGCTCTGGCTGAGGTCATTGACCTTTCCAATTGACAGCTGGTGGTTACATGGTAGGGTACACGACAAGAGGCCTTTTGGTCAGCGAACCTGGTTCGAATCCTCCTGCTGACTTGTAAAATTTATCACATCAAGTGCACCATCTGAACTAAGTTTAGCCGTACCCACGAGCTCGTAAATATATTAACGCTTATGACGATAAAGTTGCAATTTTTTTTTTAATTTAAGATCAAATACGATGTGGCTGAGGTTAAGGGTTAAGGATTATAATAATTTCAAGGAATTAAAGTGCCTTAATATTACTGAAAATCGAAACGGTTTTTCATCATAATTATCTTCTAATACGTTTAGGGGGTCTTCAAAAAATGACGTCAAGAATCTTTGACACCCCCCCCCCCCAAAAAAAAAATTAAATGTCACATGTCGCTATTAATACATGTAACATCACTTTTCCTTTAACCCTACCCCACCCACCCACCATTCCCCACCCCCACCCATCAGTATTCTTTCCCATTTTCTCTCTATCTTTTTTTAAAACCATGTATAGACCTCTAACATTTTTTAAACTGATTTATACAAATAAATATATTTATATTTTTTCAAAAAAATAAATTTGAAGTCAAGATAAAAGTTAACAAAGTTTTATCTTTTCGTTTTTACAAGTAAATACCAAGTCGAAAAAAAAAACATGGTTAAAATATTTTTTTTAAAGACAAAAACAAGAAAAACAAATCTCACGAAAACAAACAGTAGATAAAAATATTTTTTCTTATACTCATTGACAGCAGCCTGACCCTGCCTTCACCAGTATCGATACTGTATATCCAGAAGTGAAATACGACCGTACAACATTAGCAGGGATTATATCAGTATCGATTCAACTACAGCACGATTACTAAAAGAACAAACACGATTATGTGTATATAGTTACGGACCATTATACCGTTTTATATCAGATATATTACAAAGAGTTCAACAACAGATTTTATAGCAGTTAAAGCCAATATTATATCACCAATACATTTAACAAGGGTATAGCATGTCGAATTGGATTTAATTAAAATGAATGCAATGGATATTGTTGGAGACCTATAAATATGTTTAAAAACTTTTGAAGGTTGGGAAATCTAAACAAAAAGTAAGGAAGAGCCTAGAATATATATATATATATATATATATATATATATATATATATATATATATATATATATATATATATATGCATATATATATATATATATATATATATATATATATGTGCATATATATATATATATATATATATATATATATATATATATATATATATATATATATATATATATATATATATATATTCTTGCCGCTTAATGAAGTAATTTTGGTATTAGATTAATTAACTGTATAGCTTCAACAACGGACATGTGAAAATTAAGAAGAAAATGCCAATCTAAAATTCACCTCATTTGTATCAAGTTGTTTATTACAGAAACACGACAGTCCACGCCGAGAGGAATTGATTTAGAAAGACTTGACACTTTTTGTTTCCAAACCGGAAGTGAACATTTGTTGTTGGAATAGTGGACAAGTGGGCCACTTTTTTTGTGTACCGTGGGCAACACAGGAAGTGTTCGGGGTTGTAAAGTCATCAAGTCATAAAATGATTACAGTCTGGTGATTGGACTGATTAGACTAATTAGACTAATTAGAGGTCGATAGCGTCGAATGTTTTCTCAATGGTAGACTTGGAACAGTGTCAGAACGAGGCTGTTCTTGTTGCCGTGGTTACAAAGGGTTGCGCATGGCGAACCCGATTTGGAATAATTTTTCAAACTTCCTAAACCAGTGGAGCATCTAGAAAGATATAAACAAAGTTATCTTTAGTGAAAGTTTTATCAGTATCTAAAAGGGAATATAAACAAAAATAGTAAACTTTAGTGTAAGTTTTCACAAATCTAGAGTTAAATAAACAAAATTAGTAAACTTGAGTGTAATTTTTAGCAGTAAGATTTTTTTTAATATTAAACTTTCATTTTAAAAAGCTTATAACCCTCATCCAGAGGGAAAGAAAAAAATTGTTAACTTCAGTGTAAGCTCTTGAATCATCTACATGCAAGCTATTTTCAATTTTCAACCAACTTTAATTAATAACAGCCAAAACAAAAACAAAAATTAAAGGAAAAAAACAAATTAAGTTTAATCAGTGTGCGTTAAATGTGATACAAATAAATAATAGAGCAGTTTGACCTATCAAATTAAGACATGACTTTATTTAATATTTTCATATGTTTCATTAATTTAGTAAGGAATTACTACACACGTACAAGGCAGACGATTGAGACCTTACCGGAAACACCATACCACACCCCCCCCCCCAAACCATTCTGAAACAAAACTTTCCTACTTACTAAACAATCGTTACCATCTACTGCTAACCCGAAAGACTCGAGTTCGAATCACATGTTGAGGCTGTATGACGTCCCTAGTCCACCCATTAGGGAAAGTAGGGGCGGCTGGGTATAGCGGTGACCCCAACATCCTTTCATATTTCGTGGTCGATGAAACAGGTGAACACTACTTCACCTGTCCCATGGACCATGGACCGATAGGTTCGAACGAGTAATTTACTTTTACAAAAATATGACAACTCTACCTAACAAAACTATGACAAATGTACCCAAAAAAACTATGACAACTCTACTCAACAAAAATATGACAACTCTACCTAACAAAACTATGACAAATGTACCCAACAAAACTATGACAAATGTACCCAACAAAACTATGACAAATTTACCCAACAAAACTATGACAAATGTACCCAACAAAACTATGACAAATTTACCCAACAAAACTATGACAATTCTACTTAACAAAACTATGACAACTCTACTCAACAAAACTATAACAACTCTACTCAACAAAACTATGACAAATTTACCCAACAAAACTATGACAACTCTACCCAAAAAAACTATGACAAATATACTCAACAAAACTATGACAAATCTTCCCAACAAAACTATGACAAATTTACTCAACATAACTATGACAAATTTAGCCAACAAATCTATGACAAATTTACCCAACAAAACTATTACAACTTTACTCAACAAAACTGACAAATCTACCCTATAAAACTATGACAAATCTTCCCAACAAAACTATGACAAAAATACTCAATAAAACTATGACAATTTACCCAACAAAACTATGACAAATTTACACTTCAAAACTATGACAACGCTACCCAACAAAACTATGACAAATTTACTCAACAAAACTATGAAAACTCTACCCTATAAAACTATGACAACTCTACCCAACAAAACTATGACAACTCCACCAAACAAAACTATGACAACTCCACCAAACAAAACTATGACAACTCCACCTACCAGGTGATGAATCGAGCACGTGCGAAACGCCTCATCCTCCCCTTTCGGACATTGCCTGACCCCATCACAGATCTCTTCGTCCTTGACACAGATGTTGGGGTCGGACGAGCACTCTAGCATAGGATAGCCTCTCCTGTCCTCTCCACATCCCGGCCTCACTGGGAGAGCGAGAGAGAATAGAACAGGTATAGAGGTAGGCTTATCAACAGGTGTAAATAATGAAGTGTGTAAGTGTATTAGTGTATAACTCTCTCTCTCTCTCTCTCTCTCTCTCTATATATATATATATATATATATATATATATATATATATATATATATATATATATATATATATATATATATATATATATAAAACCATGTTCATTAAGTGTTATGTTTGATTGTAAATATTCATATATAAATATATATATATATATATATATATATATATATATATATATATATATATATATATATATATATATATATATATATATATATATATATATATATATAACTTTATAGCTTTGCTTCGCCAGCTTCAATATTTGTTGTCAACAATACAACGACTACTACTTTCACGTGTTAAAAAACGTCCTTCTTCTTCGTTCTTAATTATAAATGTTGAAAGGGATCGAGATTTATTTGCCAGTGGGTTTAAACGCGAGACTTTGTTCGAATTTATCAACCATGAACTTTGCCGACTCGACCATCCTTCCATCACAATTAAGAATTACGTGTCAACTGGTTATGCGCCATTGAGGCCATTGACTCCGATTTCATCCTGCTTTTCTTTTTGGATTTGCTTCCATAGCCTTTGTCCAACCAAGAACAAACTACAAGGCAGCAGTTGTTTGATTTTGGAGTTGTCTCTCCTGGAAGAGTGGCTGTCCCCAGCTAAAGAGCATCTGCCCGAGGGTTCGAACTCGAGACTTTTCGGTTTAGCAACCATGAGCTTTACCGACTCGACCACGCCGACCCCTGGGGGGTCAGTGATAGTGATGGGGAGGGATCGGTGATGGGGGGGTCAGTGATAGTGACGGGGAGGGGTCAATGATGGGGAGTGGTCAGTGACTGTGATGGGGGGGGGGGCAGTGATAGTCGGTGCTGGAATAGAAAATAAGACTCACGTGATGCACTTTGTGTGAGCGTCGTCAACGCTTGCTTCACCGTGCCTTCCTCCTTTTTGGTTTCTTTATTCCCCCCATGTTTTCTTGGTTTGTCTAAATGGAAACATGTTGAGACGGTCGTTAGAAGAAGTTTAGTAAAAAAAAAAGTTTTTATGGAACTTCGTGTTAGGGCGGTAGAGCGCTCGACTGCTTACCCGAAAGTCTTGAGTTCAAATCCTGAATAGAATCCGTAAGACGTCCCTGATTACACCTACGTTAGATAAAGTAATTACGGCTATGTGTCGTCCACTCTATGTGTTTAGGTCACACATAAAGCAGATAAACTCTACTTTATCTGTCGTATGGACCAATAGTGAGTTAAATACATTGACAAATCGACCAGCGCTAATGAGGTATTGACTCACGTTAGTGAAAAGTAAACAGGCAAACTCTACTTCACCTGCTAGATGGACCGTCAGGTTCGAAAGTGTACTTTACAAACAATCATACATTGAATAAAACAAAATAGTGAACTAATCAATTTTAAAATAATGAACTAATACCTAGACGAATTGTGAACAAGAACATTGACCAAAAAACAGTAAACAAATAAATTGACAATTTGTGAACCAATACATTGACAAATAGTAAACTATTACATTGACAAAAAGTGACACAGTTTCTTATTACTTACTTTTGGCTTTGTTGTTTTTTTGGAGCTTTTCTAAGTATTCTGTATGTTCGTCTGGAGATAGAAATAACAGTTATTACCCTTGTGGTTTTGTGTGGTGTGTGTGTGTGTGTGGTGATGTGTTTCGAGCAGTGTGTGTGATGTGGGGGAGAACATTTTTTTAATATGGTGTGGGATTTTATATGGGTTATTATATGTATGGTCCGTATAAATAAATACAGTGTGGGATGGTTGCAAGGATGTGTGGGATGGTTGCTAGGATGTGTGTGATGGTTGCTAGGATGTGTGGAATGGTTGCTAGAATGTGTGGGGTGGTTGAAAGGACGTGTGGGATAGTTGCAATGATGTGTGGGATGGTTGCTAGAATGTGTGGGATGGTTGCAATGATGTGTGGGATGGTTGCAAGGATGTGTGGGATGGTTGCAATGATGTGTGGGATGGTTGCAAGGATGAGTGGGATGGTTGCAAGGATGTGTGGGATGGTTGCAAGGATGTGTGGGGTGGTTGCTAGAATGTGTGGGATGGTTGCAATGATGTGTGGGATGGTTGCAATGATGTGTGGGGTGGTTGAAAGGATGTGTGGGATGGTTGCAAGGATGTGTGGGATGGTTGCAAGGATGTGTGGGGTGGTTGCTAGGATGTGTGGGATGGTTGCAAGGATGTGTGGGATGGTTGCTAGTATGTGTGGGATGGTTGCAAGGATGTGTGGGATGGTTGTTGCAAGGATGAGTGGGATGGTTGCTCAAAGGATGTGTGGGATGGTTGCTCAAAGGATGTGTGGGATGGTTGCAAGTATAAGGTGGATGGTTGCAAGGATGAGGTGGGATGGTTGCAAGGATGAGTGGGATGGTTGCGGTGCAAGGATGTGTGGGATGGTTGCTCAAAGGATGTGTGGGATGGTTGCATAAATAAGTATGATGGTTGCTAGGATGTGTGGGCTGGTTGCAAGGATATGTGGGATGGTTGCTCAAAGGATGTGTGGGATGGTTGCAAGTATAAGGTGGATGGTTGCAAGGATGAGGTGGGATGGTTGCAAGGATGAGTGGGATGGTTGCGGTGCAAGGATGTGTGGGATGGTTGCTCAAAGGATGTGTGGGATGGTTTCAAGGATGTGTGGGATGGTTGCAAGGATGAGTGGGATGGTTGCAAGGATGTGTGGGATGGTTGTAAGGATGATTGGGATGGTTGCTAGGATGAGGTGGATGGTTGCAAGGATGAGTTTTGTCGATGGTTTCCGGGATGATATTTGATAGTCAAGTATTTTTTTTTTCTGTGTAGGAAGATAAATAAAGTATTCATGATTTGAACAAACGAAAAATGTATGGTATAGTTAAGCCAACAGTACCCATCTCAGTCAATGTTATCCACCCCTCCCTAATCCCACCGCCAATCCGTTTTTAGGGACACTCCCCCCCCCCCCCAGTCACACACACACACACACACCACCACCACCACAACCACCGCACATTAGCAAGAAACAATATTTTCCTATTTAAACGACCAACATTGATTTCGTGCCCTGAAGAGCTCGCCGTGATCAGTGTTTAAGACTGCTCTCCCCTTTTCTCCGGCTCCCACGTGATCTCAGGCCGCTGGCCGCCGCCATCTTGGTGTCGCCCGTGGAGTGTCCAGCCCATGAATATTAATGAGCTCGTGTGGGAGGCTTTTAAAATCTCGTTGGGTCTATAATTATCCTCCCTGTAGCCACTAATATGCGTATGTATCGTATAATTTCCGCAAGTAAAAAAAAAATATGAGTAATGAAGCAGTATAAAACATGTTACGGACTAACTTATGGTATTATACAGTTATAATAAAGAGGAGCATTATCACTTTCTATATTGATTGTTTAATATTGTAAAGGAGATTTCCTCCAACGCGAGTACATAGTACGTGTTATCATGTTATGCAATGTATGGCTCGTTGACTCCAACCTCAGTATCTATCTATATATATATAATTCTCTTCTGGGAGACGCTAGAAAACAAGCTGTAAACGCGCTCCCTACCATCCCCACCCCTACATGGTCTTAGTTAGCCGTGGTTCACGCTATGTTTACCTTCGTGGAGGGGTTTAGTGACGGCTATTAGGGGCAGATAATTTAGCTTGAAACGATTTTAAACGTGGGGGGGAGGGGAAGGAAGGGGGGGGGTTATGGTCCTTAACGAGCTACTTATAGTGTTTTAAAGAAATATTTTCAGTGTCAGCGTTGGTACTGTCGAATTCACAAATTATGAACTACTGAAAAGTAGAAAAAAAAAACAACTAAATAGCGGCGTATGTTATGTCGCGGGCCGGCTCGTTTGTCCTATTCGAGCAAGTGTTCATTCGGGCATTTGTCGCATTCGGGCAAGTGTTCATTCGGGCATTTGTCGCATTCGGGCAAGTGTTCATTCGGGCATTTGTCGCATTCGGGCAAGTGTTCATTCGGGCATTTGTCGCATTCGGGCAAGTGTTCATTCGGGCATTTGTCGCATTCGGGCAAGTGTTCATTCGGGCATTTGTCGCTTTCGTAGCCATTCGGGAATACTGCCTTTTTACAAACGGCATTCGGGCAAGTTTATTTCAGGAGTTAATCGTAGACTCAAAGCAATGAAAAGTGAATTTTCTTTAAGAACTTTGGTCAAATATTTTAAATATACAGAAAGTGTAACATTTTTTTAGAAATGTCAGTAATCTGGTGTTTGAGCTTAAAAAATGGACATAAAATTGGAGTAAATCAAGTTAATTTTATGGATAAACAGTAAAATCGTCTGAAACTATGCCCTACCATAATTTGGTCAGTTCAGTTTAGGAAGATGAGCAATGAAAGGGCTGGGTTGAGATGTGGGCGGGGCTGGTCTAGATCCAGTGACGTGATTGGGTGGATGGGCAGAAGCTCCGCCCCCAGGGGCGGAACTACAGTGCCGCCAGACCCCGCAATGCGGGGTGGCCCACGCCATTTAGGGGCCCACAGCCGACCATAATATTTTTTTTTATAGTTAAAAAAAAAATTCTTGCATTTTTACTTTCTCGTATATACGTAGTATAGAGAAAGTATTGTAATCGTGCAAAAAAAAAATCGAGATTTTTACAAATCTCGACAATTTACACCTCACTGATACGGAAAAACATAATTTTGCAATCTTGTCCGTATGTCTGTGTGTCTGTCTGTGTGTCTGTCTGTCTGTCTGTGTGTCCGTGTGTAAACACGATAACTTGAGTACCGTTACAGCTAGGTTGATGAAATTTCATATATAAGTATTTTATCAAAATCGTAGATCCGTATCAACTTTTAAGCGATTTCCGATAACCGGAAGTTATACTTTTTCTACTTTGAATTTTTCAAAAGCCTATAACTTGAGTACTATTTCAGATAGATAAATGAAATTTCACATGTAAGTAAAAGATCTAATTTTCTACCTTCTGTTAAATTTTGAGTAATTTCCGTTGACTGGAAGTAGTAATTTACGCTACTTCCGATTTCTCAAAAACTAATGTAAATTTTTAAAGTACTAATAATATTGCGCACTATTATGCGCTTTTTTATTTGGCGTTCACTTGGTGTGCAATTAATTTGTCTACGAGATTTTATTCTATTTTTAAAAATTTAAGTATTTAAAATGGATTAAAAATCCTAATATATAAATCCCCACGTTCGCACATCTCTCTCTCTCTCTCTCTCTTTCTCTGTCCGCAAAAAATTTTCGCCGGACATCACGTCAGAATCGGCAGCGGTATATCGAGAACTTTTTACGGACTTTTGTTGAAAATAATATGTTAGATGTTTTAAATGTATAACCACAATTTTACTTAAAGAAGAAAAATAAAAATTAAAGGCGTATTCGAATGTAGAGAAACAGTATTATTTATGCAACCGGAAAAGCATTAATACATGTGAAAAAGAACGCATAAAACTGTGACGTCGCTATTGCTTATACATTAACTAATGACGTCATCTGCTGTGTTTTGAGTAAAAAGAAATGAACTATTTCATTCAAATTTGATTTAGATCTACGTACACTATGAAATGTATACAATACAATTTTTCCGGCCTAAACTCATAAAATTTATTTTATGTATTTGGATTCTAGATCTAGAGATTCTAGATCTAGACTAAATCTAAATCTAAATCTACGCATAACTAGATCTAGACGTAGACGCTAAGATCTAGATTTAGACTCTAACTTCTCTAAAATCAATTCCAAAAATAAATTTCTATATTAGGACTAAACTATTTCAAGACTTATTTATTTTATACAAAATCTTTGTTATGAACTGGCTAATTTGGGATAAAAAATTAATTTGAAAGAATAGGCATATTCGCGTAAGTTAAGATTTTAAAATACGTGTTTCATTCTCCGTGTTTTATAAGGTGCCTAAATAGCGGAGATGTTAGTGTACACTAAACCACGCAGGTGGTGCGGGTTCGAGACACAGCAAGTCAACTTGGTTAATGTATTCTTTTTTATTATGCTCGGGCTAAACTTAAAAAAAAAATTCTTTTAGGAATCTAGATCTAGATCTAGATTGTCGGGTGTCCGATAGGGCACTTCCCGGCGCCGCAGCCGCTTCAAATTTGGCATGATCTTGCCTTGGTGCGACAGAACACGGGGGCCGGTTGGCCGAAAAGTCTACGATGTGGGGGTCAAAACTGACCTCGACTGACCGGTACCTTATATGAGCTATAAATAAATCGAAAAAAAATGTCCACGGAGGAACCTCTTCATAACTCTTGAGGTCGTAGACCGACCCTCGGGCGAATTAATTAAGCATTCAAATTCTCAATGTTTTCGAAAGCCTAAGCGAAGCTGGGCAGCATGCCTAGTCATGTCTATAGCCCGAGTTCCCATCCCTTGTTATTTTATATAAGAATATTCGAGAAAGTTTAGGGGAGATCACTCCCGGTTTATTATCTTCATGGTTGTTTTGTGAAAAAAAAAAGATTACTGTAGCTGCGGTTGGATTATCTTTATTTTATAGACACCACACCACGCTCTTGTATATTCTTTTTCCCTTTGTTTTTAAACCATTGTGAAAGCCGAGTCCTCTTTCTCCTACAATCAAACTTATCA